TTTGTCATAAATGACAGAAACATGAAGATAGAAGTGTCACTGTGTCAGTAAAAAAAAAAAAAGTCAGAACGGGTAGGTTGGGCTTTTTAAGGCTGGAAAAGAAATCTGCAGTTGGCGCCTCCCCACTGAAAACACTAAGAAAGACTAAATGACAACGGCTGACAGGGTGTAATTTTTGTCAGAGAACGGAGTCATTATGGACTTCTACATGTGTTCAGTACCTGATCCATATTCAGCATATGAACCATTGTTTAAATGAATTCTTGAAAGTCCATAAGAAAGCAGAGATTGGAGTAAAAGCTGTTTTTCACCAATTATTAATTCCTTTTGTTGACATCTGTAGCTCTGTTTGTAACTTTCTAAAGCTGTAATCGGAAACTTTTGATCAGCTGATCAGCATTACATCTTGTTTTCAGAGACTTGACCTCTCTTTGTGTCTTCCTGGTGTTTTTTCTGTCTGTACTGCAGCTCACCTTGAAGCCTGGTTACTTAGAGAAGAGAAATGTCAGGCATTGTTCGTCGCTCTTAAGGTTTTGAATGCATTGAAGCAACTCAGAGTTTATCTTACTTGTCAAGTAAATTAAGTTTAACCATTCATGTGGTTCTCAAGTTAATACTAAAGCAAAGAGAACATCAGGAGTTTAGCATTTACATCAGACACTTGCAGGATCCCTGGTTCAGGAACATTCTGGGAAAATAAACTCCCAGTGAATTTCAGAGACAGATGGAGATCGCCATGGAGACTCCCTCCACTTCCCTTTCCAGCTTCTTTAAAATTGACCAACAAAAACAAACCGTCATCCTCCAACTACTTCCTGTTGTCGTCTTCATCGTTTGCGACAGTAGCAACATGCTGATCATGTGACTTGTGATGCCAAAAATGTTTCCATTGCCATTTTTGCAAAGTATATCTATTTTGATCAGACCAAAAACCACCTCATCCTTATAGAAAAGCTTTTTTCCTTTTAGCAATTTTATTTTTGTAATTTCAATTTGCGCAACTCTGTTCAATGAAAACGCAGCTACATTTTCAGCTGAAAATGTAACAAATATTGCAATTTTGAATGGAACAGAGTCAACCAGACTATCAGGTGTGAAAACGGCTAAACTGTCCCGTTCCTCCGACAGATCGAAGGGGCAGAGACAACTTTGTGCGTGTGTCTGGTTCTCTAAGTGTTCACCGTTTCTGCGGTTTCCAGGAAGGGGAGCAGTTTGTGAAGAAAATCGGAGGAGTTTTCGCCTTCAAAGTGAAAGACGGCCCAAATGGACAGGAAGCCACTTGGATCGTGGATGTGAAGAACGGCAGTGGCTGCGTTCACAACGACGCAGGTGGGAAAACTTGCAGGCTCCCTTTAGTCACAGATTCAGGTCGAAGTTGAAGGTCTGCTTACGTATCTGCTTTATCTCCATAGACTACCTTTAGCTCAGAAAATATGTCTTGATCTTTAACTTCTTTATCTCTGCTCTGCAGACAAGAAAGCAGATTGCACCATCGCCATGTCCGACACGGACTTGTTGGCCTTGATGACCGGGAAAATGAACCCACAGACGGTGAGTATACAAACCATATCGTATCCTATAAGACATCTCACCAGAGGAGAAGCCTGTTGTTTTTTTTATTTTTATTTTCTTTTTTTTCCCTACTGAGAGATGGAAATGTGGGAAGCGTAGAGAAAGACAGCAGGCACTTGAAGATTGCAAGCATTCCAGCTCATTAAATCGCATCATTGTTATGAAATATGTTTAGCTGCTTCTGGAACTGATGAAAGTAGCGGCGGCAAGGATGATCTCGGAATTACTGTGAACATTCTAAAAGTGTGTTTGAAAAAAAGAAACAACAAACAAAAAAAAAGAAACCAGCAGCCTTTTTTCAATCTGACCGTCCATACCCTCATCCTGCGACGAGATGATGACCTCCAGGACGCAGCCTGTGTAAACACGACTTTTATCAGTGTCAAACAGCAAGTGCTGTTCACCGAGGAGGAAAGCTGCCGGAGCAGAACCAAGGAACCTTCAATCGCAGACTTATTTGAAAAAAAATATAGAAAAAAGTCTTTCAATGGGAATAATCCAAGTTGGAGTGCGTTCAGAGTGAACACAGCAGATAAAAAGTGCTCTGTTAGTTTAAGAAGTAACCTCATCTTCTAATGGATCATGCAACCAAACCAAACATTGAGTTATTTAAGAACCTCTGCGTCCGTAACAGCTTTGTCTTATTTGACCAGTTGTCCAAAAAAAACAAATGTCATGAAACAACAGAGTTTCTCCAGTTTCCTTCTTTACTGTTTGCCTTCCCAGATGATGCTAATAAAGCCTGTTCCTGCTTAATAGGAATGATTTTATTTCATAAGTTTTAAAAGGGCAGTATTATGTAAAATCAACTTTTTTGTGCTTTTCGTCATGCTATAATGTTAATCCCTCATCAAAAATATACCTGAGTGTTGCTTTGATTCTTTCATATGTTTGAGAAATCCTTTAATCTCCATGGCAACCATTCAGTTGTGCAAAAGTCCTGGGTGGACCTAGCTCCGCCTTCGAGGTGCAGATCCTCCCCCTCACAGAGCAGCCCTCCCCTAGAGCTCCCTTCAGACTAGCCAGCAGCAATTAGCAAACACCTGGTGGAACTTTATATCTGCTGAACTTATCATAGGAGCTACTTAGTGAAACGCCATTGATAGAGGAGCCATGTTGTGATGACTTCATGAAGGCAAAGCTTCAAAAAGAGTTTCTTAAAGATACAGAGGCCCATTTTCTAGGCATTAAAAGAAATTTGATTTTATAATTTAAGTCATGTTTGATATAACAACTGAAGGTAACATAGTTACTTGATTAAGCTATACAATTGGACTGTGTGCATGAAAAAAAGCATAATACTGGCCGTTTAAAGACATTTTAAAGAAAACTCTTGAGGTTTGTGCAAAGTGTCAGGTTTGTTTTGTAAGACTTGCTCAGATCACTGTGACATGTTGGAATCCTGACTGATAGGGGGCCGGTCTGGTCTTATCAGTGCTTGGAGGTTATCACAGTTTTTGGTCGACTCACTTTCTGAGGATTAGCTGCAGGTTCTTAATGAGGTTAAGACTTTCACACAGAAGATACCGACTTCATATATAGAAGACGTTGTGGTACTTATTCCAATAAAAATAAAAGTCACTAAGGAAATTATTTTATTTAATAATCTGTTGGGGTGCATGTCTGCTGCTGCATACAGTCATTCAAATTTCAGTAAAAAAAACTAACAAAAAAAACAACACGTTATGGATCCCAAAGGAAAATTGAACGTCGTAACTCATATTGATTCAAAATTCTTCAAACAGTTGATGTAGATAGTGATGGTTTTTAGCAGGAAAGCTCTCCTATGCCAGTCTGTATTGCAGCGAATCTGAAGAAGCCTCTGACTGAAGACACTCGGGTTTTTCTAAGACGGTCTCATGAAGAGGATGTTCAGGATTGTCCATAATTGTCTTGATTTTTTTATGCATCATTCATGTCAAACTCAATCAAAGAGGCTGCTTCACTAACAGCACCAATTATTATAAACAATAAACAGAACAATAAACAGTAATTTAATACAGTCATTTTTTTCCAGTGATGTGTATTGTCTGACTGTCAATACATATCACTGACAGTGAAAACAACTGGTCAAATGGGGAACTAAAGTCAGCTTTTGGAGTTTGCTTGTAGCATCAATTTGTGTTTGAAATGATAAAAAATAATTCCTCAGTAATAACAAATGATTAGTTAATTACTCATTGATTTCCTGTAACAGTGTGTAACGCTCTTATTAAGTGCGCAGGTCTGACTGCAGGGCTTAGTGTTAACCACTTTATAAA